TCTACCAATTTGACAATAAGTGAATAGAGATTGTCCTTATGCACACTTAGATTGTTTTCCATTTCTTGCGTCTGTAACTCAAATGTAAAACCCACTTTAGTCATAATCCAATTGGTATAAATTTGACTCTCTTGCACTTTTTATCTCCCATTGATAACAAGTGCATATCCACACAAACAGCATGGGGGGCTCAAATGAGTTTTTAAATTTCACGAGTAAGCATTCTAATTATTCAGGACCCAGTTAAGATGCTAAAATAATAGTAATATCAATTTATATATTGCTTTTTTACAGTTGTCTCTAAGCAGTGTAAAAAAGCCTCTGTATAGTGAAATGTAAAATGATTTAAAACCATAAAATCAGAAAATATTCAGGAGGTGTTGGAAGTTCAACAGGAAGGTGACATCTCAGACATCAATTGGAAGGGAGTCCAATAAGATTGCACCCACAGTACTGAATTGCATGGCTTCTGGTGGATATGAGCCATGCATCTGAACTGTGGGGATCTGCAAACAAGGACTTTCCTGAAGACCTCAGTGATTGTGCAGGGATTTAAGGGAACAGGTGAACTTGTTCAGGAGAACATTTCAGGAGAACTTGTTTTCTGAACACCAGAAACTTGGTTTCAGGTGTGTGCAGCAAGAAAGGGGAATCTCAGGCTGAGGAGCAAACCTGCTGCACCTGGAACCAAGTGTGGCAAGAGCAGCTGAATGGGACACAGCTGAGTGGGAAGCCTGAGGAAGTACCACCCACCTTGGGCCTGCCCATAAAACACAAGTCTAGAGTGAGAGGCTAGGGTGCTGCCTCTGTTTCTTCTCATTGTGAGACTTCTGTGGGTGAGCTGGGAGTTTGTTTGGTCCCTGGGTGAGAACCTGGAGGCTGAGAGGCAGGGTGTGTCAGAAGGTAAATGAACTGATATTGATTTTTGTGTCTATTATCAATTTTGTATTAAAGTAACATTTTTATATGTGATTGTATATTTCTGTAATATTTTGTTGTCAGTTGTTGCTTCAGTTACTTGTACACTAGACATATTTTTAATATATTAAGCGGGATAGAAATGATCAATCCATCAGATGTGTTCTCCAAGCATCTCTGTCTAGTCCTCAGGATTCCCCTCCCTGACCACACAATCTCCTGAGCCACACCTCTCATCCCTTGCTTTGCACCCTCCTTGAGTGTTATTGTCTGGCTGGAATGTATCACACAAAAACTAACTGCAGTTCACTATGGGCAAATGTTCTGAATCTCTCCTTGCAGCCACACCAGACAAGGAGCAGGGGACGCATATACAGTGGCAGAGGAAGCCGATTGGGCGCTTGGAGCAGTGTGGGACCAGCTGCCCGCGGGGCGGGATGAGCCAGGGCAGGATGCTCTGTGGGGCCTCCGAGGAGTCTGCCTGCCTCCTCCCACTTAGCCGCCCTACAGCTGAGGGGGAGGTGGTGTGCGGACCGTTTGGGGCAGTGCAGAGCCTGCGGGCGCCCAAGCTACTATGTCATTCCCAGGAGAGATGCGTGGCTCAGGCGCACTGCAGGCCCCATGGTGAGTGCCACCTGACATTTTGTCACCCCCTCAAAGGACTGCCCCCACCTCACCCCCTTCCTCCGCCACTGCGCGTATGCACTCAAGCCTTGCGTGGGCTTATTCCCTCAAGCACTAAGCTATAGTGTGAGGTGTTATATTGAAATGTAACAGTACTGAAATGTGAAAACATGTTCTGGGTTTTAATATGTGAGGAGGCTCAGAATGCAGCCTTCACTTGAAGATATTCAAAAGGATAGAACTATATTCAAGTACAGAACCCCTTAAGTGAATCTATATGTCAATAGTAAGACATCAGTTTGTAATAAATGGTGTTTGTTTTCATTTACAGAAGAGTACACACTATGCCTTAAGATCCCCATGATAGCATTTCTTTTGACTGAAGTGGAAATTGGTAGTGTTGATGCTATTACTTTCAAGAAGCTCAGGAATAGTTTCTGTTCTGTATCAAGGGACTGAGAAGGTTTTGAAGAACTTTGTGTACAACCTTTAGCAGCCTCCTTTGTTATAGCAAGGCAGCATTCAGCTACAATCTAGAGCACAATTGACATTTGTAAGGGAGTGCTGGATTGCAATCACTGGTCTTTATAGAATTCTAAGTAGAAATACATACAAACCTTCTTTGTGTGGATACCTTTTTTCTTTCAAAGTTGTAAATGCTAAAAAAGAAATGTGTATTTTTCCTATTTTGGGTTCATTATTTTAAGAAATGGCTAGAAAGGCTGTCTCATTTATGAAGAATGCAGTGTAATTCACTGCATCACAGATGTTTGGAAATACAGTGCACAAAATTATTAAGTGATCTAAAGTATATTGTAATCTAACGGATATATATTCAGCTTTCATAATGGGATAAAGTTTCCTAAGTAAAAAAAAAAATTGCAGCAAATGTTTCAGATCATGACAACATATCAGAGGGCTCGGGTAACCATAGTGTAACCAGGATGAGACCAATGTGCATAGTTTAACCGTACAGGGCTTTGAAATTGGCAGAGCTGGTTGGAGCTGTCCAACAGTTGTTGTGTCAGGTGCAACTGGGGCCAGTCAAGCTGGATTGCATGGAAGGCTAGCTATGACGTGGTGGAGGATGTGCTGCTCTTGTCAGCTTGGAGAAATTCCAAGATCAGCTGCCCAGGACATTAATCTAGCAGGACACAGATGGTGTCACCTTTGGTGGTCATGTTGTAGTTTAGAGCAAACTTGGAGTCTCTGGCACATGCTAACAAGGATTTGAGGATATGACACTCTACATTCCTAGACCAGGGTGGCAGAAGACATTCTGAGGATGTCGAACATTGACCTTCCTCATATAAATGACTAAAAGAAGTGACACATTAGTCATGCTGCAGGTTGTAAAAGCTGTGGATTGTCAAGAGCTGGTCCGGCAGTTCCTTGATTTGGATTCTCAGAATGGTTTGGGAGGGTTCCAAATCTGGTATTAGCTGTTAGAATGTAATAAATATAATGGAACTAGAAACAACAAGCCTGTTTTACCCTTTTCAGGAGTAACAGCATACTCTTGCTATAATAATGTACTGTGTAACAGCATACCACACAGAAAAAACATTGTGTAGTATTAGAGCTTCTCTTACACAACCAGTACTAGTTATGTGAAATGACTAGAGCAGTGAGAAAATCCACAACAGTTGCCTGGCCCTGTCTGTTAAAGGATCTAATAAAATAGCTAAGCTTGCTATGTCTGAGTTATGGGAATTTCTAGATGCATGTCAGGCTTGGAGTAAGCAACATTAGATTGTTCAGAGTGTGCACCTACATACAGCTCTTCAATTTCTTCTTTAAATTCTGTCTGTATATTCATTTACAAAGTAAATAAGGTAGAAGGGCAAGCACTTTGAACATGTGGGTGCACAGTCGTGATATATGATATCTGTGGGGAAATATAGAGACATAATCTATTCCTCTTCATGGAAGTTCATATGTTTCCTGTTGTTACCTGTGCTGTGACCACTGCTTCTTTTATACTGATGTGGAACTTATCCTTGTGTTTGTTGCCACTTCCCATACCCTTAATGTGTAATTAAGACATGATAAAGTGGATTCTGCTAACATGCCACACTTTTGAATAATTATTTTTTTCTAGTTAATTTTTATTAAAGTAATACAATAAAAGTAAAACTAGTCTAAAGACATAGAACAGTGAAAAACCAAAATAAGAAAGAAAAATCAAGAAATAGAGAGAGAGAAAAGAAGAAAGAAAGAATAATATATAAAGGCCCTTCATCACATTTATATCATAGCCTTTATTGTGGATGATGATTCAATGCACAAGGGCTGGAAAATTACCTTTACCCTAAAGCATTTATGAGCAGTTTGTTGGATGCTAGAGAACGGAAGAGGGTTTGTTTGTTTGTTTTGCTAGCTTGCTAGCCTACCTACCAGAAAGGTGGACCCTCCTAGCTCCCACCTGAGAGCCTGTTTCTTTCCCCATCCTCCCACTTTGGGGAACGCTTTCCACTCTACCTCTCATGCAGGAACCACCATCTTTCAGCTGTTATGAGGGAGAACATACATTCCAAAATTCATGAGCAGCATATAAAGCTGTAGCTTGTGCACTTAAATGCTGCAAATTTCTTTTGGTCATTATGCCAGACGCGTGGAAGAAGAAAGTGCGCTTCCATCCCTTCACACTCCCACATCTTTAGAAATTTCAAAGTCATACTTGGAACGTAACTTTCCCTGTGTAAATATATTGATAGATGGCTGGAATGGAGAATATATAATCTGTGACTGAGTTTCCTAGGTGTTGCTAACTCGGTGACTGAAAATGTTACAGTGGTACCTCAGGTTACACACGCTTCAGGTTACATATGCTTCGGGTTACAGACTCCGCTAACCCAGAAATAGTGCTTCAGGTTGAGAACTTTGCTTCAGGATGAGAACAGAAATTGTACTCCGGCGGTGTGGCGGCAGCAGGAGGCCCCATTAGCTAAAGTGGTGCTTCAGGTTAAGAACAGTTTCAGGTCAAGGACGGACCTCCAGAATGAATTAAATACTTAACACGAGGTACCACTGTAGTAATAAAAAATAATCAAACAATGCACAGCAGGGCTGGCCCAATACATTTTGGCACCTGAGGCGAACCACAGAATATCTCCCTGCCCCACTCCTGGCCAGGGAAGAAGGGGTGAGTAAAGATCTACATCGGGAATGACTGGGAGGAGACCAGCAGTGCCTCCTATTTGCTAAGAGGCTGATGTAGAGATGGCATTGGGAGGCGGAGGCTGCTCAGAGGTGGCAGATCCAGTCTTCGTGGAGCATGCTACAGCTGTTGCTGCCACCATTGCAGTGGGTGATGCACTCCTTGGAGGCCAGATCTGCTGGTCCTGTGGACCCTGTTGCCTGAGGCAGTCACCTCACCTTGCCTCATGGGAGGGCCAGCCCTGATGCACAGTCTCTAAAAACACTATTGTCTTGGGTCTGTCTTCTCTGAAGGAAGAGCCATAGCTCAGTGATATAGCATCTGTCTTGCATGCAGAAGATCCAGGCTCAGTTGCTGGTATCTCCATGTAGGGCAGGAATGTTCTCTGTCTGATACCCCGGAGAGCCACTGCCAGTCAGCAGAGACAATACTGAGTGAGGTGAACTGATGGTTCTGGCTTGGTATGAGGCAGCTTCCTATGTTCCTATCAGATGTATTAAAGCATTCCTGGGGCAGCAGCATCATTGCTCAGCTTCTTATGTTGCACTTGGCTAGTAATATGATTCTGGCAAGAGCTGTGAAAATGATTTATTGTGGATGATGATTACATGGACAAGGGCTGGAAAATTACCTTTACCCCAAAGCATTTATGAGCAGTTTGTTGGATGCTAGAGAATGGAAGAGGGTTTGTTTGTTTGTTTTGCTAGCTTGCCTCTTCGCAAACCCGATTTCCAGCCAGTTGCCCTAGATAACTTGTTGTTGTTGTTGTTGTTGTTGTTGTTGTTAGTGCGCCTCAAGAGTGTCTGTTACCAGTACTGGTAAAAAATATATACAGTGGTACCTCGGGTTACATACGCTTCAAGTTACACACTCTGCTAACCCAGAAACAGTGCTTCAGGTTAAGAACTTTGCTTCAGGATAAGAACAGAAATCAGTCTCCGTCAGCGCGGCAGCAGCAGGAGGCCCCATTAGCTAAAGTGGTGCTTCAGGTTAAGAACAGTTTCAGGTTAAGAACGGACCTCCAGAACAAATTAAGTACTTAACCCGAGGTACCACTGTATTTGCATTTGCAGCTTTCCAATGACTAACTTCAAATAGACCAAACACAAACCCATCAGCAGTTGTTTAAAATTAATACCAGAAGGTGGTTATCCATCATGCTGTAGCTTATGCTCTGCATGTTGGGCATCCCACTTTGCTTTCCTTCAAGCCAAGTAACTGAAACTGCTGGACAGAATGACTTGGAATAAGGAAGCAAGAAGAACTGGTGGTGAGCCAGAGTCTACTTCAAGCTAGGGATGGGTGCATTGGTTAATTTGGTTTCTCATTTTCCCAGTCTTAAATTAGCTTTCTTTTTGTACAATTTTGAAATCTTGTGGGGTTTGTGATCAATGCCACAAAAGTAAAAGATGGGCGACTAAATGAGTTTTCCAATGATCAGACAACAGAAGTCTAGTACTCCTTTGTATCTTCTTATCCTGCCCCATGACTAGCAGAATAAACAATACAAAATAGTAAAAATTATGAAATAAATAATTAGGAATAATATGAAGTAGGAAGTTTGAAGCCTATATAAACCGAGCAAATTCAGCATATATAAATGCTTCACACTGTTTCCAAGGTGATAATTTATATTCGTGTTCTTGTGTAAATGATCTGATAAGACAAGGCAAGAACACACAGTGCAAGTTTGTTAGTACAGTGGACACTTGGGTTGCGAACGTGATCCATGTGGGATGAACGTTCGCAACCCGCAGCGTTCACAACCTGCGTCTATGTATGCGTGGGTTGCGATTCAGCACTTCTGCGCATGCGCAAAGCACAATTTAAATCGTGCTTTGCGCATGCTCAACTGCCGAAACCTGGAAGTAACCCATTCCAGTACTTCCGGGTTTTGGCGGTCCACAACCCGAACAAACGCAACCTGAAGCGGCTGTAACCCGAGGTATGACTGTACAGTACTTATATTTCTCCCAAATTTGATAGCACACAAATCAACAGCAAAAAGAACAGCTGAGCCACACGGAGAACAAAGCAAAAATGAAGAATAGCTTTCCTGCATGCTTCCTGTGCCTTGCTTCCCATACTCAATATCACAGTTTCCCTTTTCTGGGGGACTGCATTGCTGGAGGAGCTTTAGGACCTCGTGGTGACCCAGCAGTGAGCGGAGGGATGCTGCCCATGTCACTAGGGCACCCACCTGCGTTATGCCCCCCGGCCAACCAATCGGCCTTGCGATGAGTAATGTTGGTCGCCTGGTTGTTGGGGCCGGGTAGGAATTTCTCCACTTAGCAAATTGGCATCAGCCATTTGGTTTTTGCCTACCTAGTAGCAATTGTCACAACTTTGTAAGGTTAGGCATTGGGTAAGGCTTGTCATGGGAGGGGCGGTTGTTGCCTTCGGCCTGCCCCTCCACATTAAGGGTATCCCGCTAAAGGGATCTGGGACTGTGGTTCCTGTCTGAAGCCTGGGTGTGGGCTAGGGCCATGCCATGACCCCATCGGTGACCCTGGGGGTCCTCTTAATGGATGTATATCATAGGGCTCCCCCTATTGGTGGTTGACCCTTGAGACTTCCTGCAGATGGGCAGGAGTCAGCTTCGGCATCGCTCTGGGAGCTTGCGGGGCTGGGGGCGGGGGAAGCCCGCCGCCTGCCTCCAAACCACGTTGGGAGACAGCGGGATGGCGCACTGCGCCTCCCCACTGTCCCCCGAGCTTGCGGGGCTGGCGGCAGGGAGAAGCACGCTTCTCCCCACCGCCAGCCTCCAAACCAGCTCGGGGGACAGCGGGATGGCGGCGTTCCGCCTCCCCGCTGTCCCCCGAGCTTGTGGGACTGGCGGTGGGGCTCTCCTGAAGCCTGGAGAGCGAGAGGGGTTGGTGCGCACCGACCCCTCTTGCTCTCCAGGCTTCAGTGAAAGCCTGCATTCGCCCCATAGGACGCACACACATTTCCCCTTCCTTTTTGGAGGGGAAAAAGTGCGTCCTATAGGGCGAAAAATACGGTAGTCTTGCTTCACCCAGTTGCCTAAGTCAAACCACTCGCATCTGTAACCAATAAAGTTGTGGCCTTATTTATCCCATTAACCCAACATATTCGTGTCTGTGTGTTTATTTCTGTGGGAACTGCGGGGCCCCGGGGCCTCGCCATGCAAACACATCTCTCAGTTTTGCTTGCTCTAATCAGCAGGATCTGAGATCCAGGTAAGCCCATTGCTCTGCTGGCCCAGTTAAAGCATATTCAAATATCAAACGGAAGCTTTATCTTATGGCAGTTTTTGCCAGTTTGCAGCTCATGCTCTTAGAAGTGGATTTTAGAATTTCAGATGGATTGTAGCATCTGATTTTGATCAATCAACATAATTTATTCATGTAGGCTCACAGGAGGCCAGTACACAGATCACAGTCAATAAAAATAAGAGAGAGATTTAAATAACAACCTGACATTCGTGATCTTCACATATCCTGAATATTACAATGTGCTTGTCTTTGAAACAGCAACTGCTGTGTTTTAATTGCATTTTGCTTACATTATGTTAATTTTAGAAGAGTCACACATTTCAGAGACTACTCAGCCTTTACTGAACTGGCTTCCTATAGTGAAGGAGAGAAGCACTGGCTCTCTGTTAATACAATCCTTAATAGATTTCCACGTTCTGCATTATTTATGAAATTAATTTTGACAACAGGCAGTTTTTTTTTAATTGCTCTAACATTTGCTTTGGATGCTTGAAAGTGTAGTAGCTGCTTGTTTTGGTAATTAAACAATGAGTCGCATTATCTGCCACATCAGGCTCTGACGTTTTCAATTATTCAGAAAAATGTTTTTTTGTTGTAAGCTGGCACATCCTCATTAGCATGGATCTGGTTGAAATCAATCATGCAGCAACAATTCATAGACCGCTAGTCTTGTCACCTCCACTTAACTCACAAGATAAATTTGCCCTGAAACAAAGCATGTGGATGGTATTGATAGCAAATTATACTATGTTATCATTTAGATGGCTATATTCTGGCAGATTTAGACATAATGGGAAAGCATGCTTTCTCACTGTGTAAACAATTTATGGAAAGTCTCTGGCTCATACAGTCTCCCTCTCCTGCTTTTGGCACCAGAAGACGACATTGGAAGCTTCTGATTCTAATTTTAAAATTAACCTCAGTTCCTTGTGATGTCCAAATTCACATAACAGTGGTCTGGTTAAACTGTAGCTTTAGAACAATCAAGGCCAGCCCAAGAAACAGCAAATGTGTCCTATCCCTTAGGTCAAGGTACATGTTGGCTAAGTTATTTTGGCACCTGGGACATCAAATTCAACAAGAGCCACTCATTGTCAGTAAAAAAGACAATAGTAATGATTCAAATAACTAACAATTTTCTGGTCTTTCATGACACACAAAATGAGTTTCCTAAGCATATGCCTCACTCTGCCTAACAATGTAGAATAAAAAACCAAGACTTGATCCTGTCTTGTTCTCACAAACCATAGTTTAAACAAACCAAATTAGCCAAGTTTGGATGTCATGGGGAGTTGTGGTTAGTTTAAAATGGGGAGCAAAAGCTTCTGAACTCCCCCTTGCAAATGCAAAAAAAGGTGGTTGGAACATGCAGTCCTAGGACTCCTCACGGCCCATTCACATTGTGAGAAATCATTGCTTTCTCTTACATTTTTTTTCAAGGTCTCTTGATTGAGAGCTGGTTTAGGAGTCCCTCAGAAGATGGTTATGTGTCACATTTATCTGTTGTGCTCCCCTGTGAAGAAGAGATCTGCCATCAGAAACTGTGCAGACACCTGTGCCTGACAAATCTCAAGTTTAATTATCAGAGGGAAAGAACATAGCTTATGTACTTTTTGTGATGATTTTTTTCATAAATCTGTTCTCCATAGTTCAGGAGACTGACTCACTTTTCCTTCTCATTCCGAAATAATTTTAAGCAATTAGACTGCATCGTGTAACAATTTAAAGAGGGAAGGTTTGCTGTTTATCATCTCATTTAGGAAAGATCTTGTTGTATATCTGTGTCCCTCGGGAAAACATTAAAAGCCTGTAAGCCATTTTCTTTTATGCACATACATCTGAAAAGGAAATAAACTGCTGTCAGGAGAGAAATTAGAAAATGGGAGTTCTGCACCCAAACTCTGGTATAAATAAAGTTTATGGATGAGACACAGTCAGTGGTGAAAGTGGGTAAGAGCAGGCTGGTACAGAGCATTGATTAAACCATATGCAGATCTAGCAAAATGTGCCACTACGTTTAAGGTCTGACATGTGTAAGGTCTGCATGAATGTGTGGGGTAGTGGCTAGAGTGTTGGGCTTGGACCTGGGAGACTGCAGTCCTAGTCACTCAGCCATGAAGCTTACTGAAT